GACAGCTTGGAGTCTTGTCGGGCAGGTTAGATGCCACGACTGCGTTCGGCCGTCAGGCCGAATTCCGCCATACTGCAAGAAAGGCGTTCGTCCATGAGGATTGCAGTCGCAGGGTGCGAAAGACCGTGTTGCGCAAGGCGGCTCCCCTGCCGGGGAAATATCAAGCTGGCGACCTAGTTTGCTATAGGATCGCGCGAGATGAGCATTCAGGCGTGAGTACGTGGTCAACTGTTAGTAAAATAATTGGCTTCGATAACAAAACGGTCTGGGTGGTGCATCAGGGCGTGCCTGTGGCGACCAGCTTGGCGCGACTCAGACCGTGTACGTCGGCTGAGGTTTTGGCGTTCCAAGTGTTGAACCGTGGCAACATACAGTACGAGCACGCGGAGGTTGAACGCGAGCAGCAAAGGTACATTGATGCCACCGGGGATGATCTATTGCTAGACGACCCAGAAGAGCCACCGGACGGAGGAATTGGGATAGGTACTCCGGTCCAAATGGACGCCGAAGCAGATCCTCCGGAGACTGCGGCCGCTGCTCCAGAACGAGCTGTTCGAAGGAGAGTTGGAGCAACACGTGAAGAGTCACGGGCCGTGACTGTGGAGGAGCCGGAGAACGAACAGGTGGACCCTCCAGGAGGGATCCAAGAGCCGATGGCTGAGGACACGGCGGTGGACGCCGATGGTGAGGCCGAGGCCACGGAAGGCAGCTCAGCGCTTCTTTTGAGGGCTTACGCTAGCCACTTCTGGACGAAAGAGGAAAGAACCGTTTGGAGCTCACTCCCCGGGGAGAAGGAGTACGAGGCCTTACGGGTCTTCTTCGCAGACCGCGTCGAGGACGACAAGAAGGTGACGCAGTGGCGCAAGCGCCGCAAGAACTTTACGTCCAAGAAGCAGAAGGAGAAGCACGGGAAGATCCTAATGTACCACAAATGCCCTGAGGATGTCCAGAAGGAGTTGGACAAGAGTAGAGCGAAAGAGTGGGCAAAGTGGCAGGACTTCAGTGCTGCGATCATTCTTGATGACGCTCAGTATGATGAGTTGATCCGTGAAGGACATCAAGTCATACCTACCCAATGGGTAGAGCTGGACAAGAACCACAACAAGAGGCTACTTGATCCTACCGTGGAGGCCAACTACAAGAGTAGATTGGTTGTTCGGGGTGATCTTGAGAAGGGTGATCCTAGGAGTGATAGCCCTACTGCTAGCATAGAAGCTCAGAACTTAGTATTTTCGTTCGCTTCTTCTAGGAAGGTCAAGATTAAGTCCCTGGACGTGACCAACGCCTACTTTCAAGGCGAAGAGATAGATAGAGTACTTCTACTATCTCAGCCCAAGGGAGGACTCCCTGGGCTCAGGCCCCACCAGCACATGCTGGCGAGAGCACCCATCTACGGCAGCACCGATGGAGGTAGACGGTTTTGGAAGCGGCTTAGGAATTACCTTAAGGGTAAAGGACTTCGCGAGAACCGCATCTACCGCGCGTTGTACAGTTTCACCGACGCCGATGGGGTGGTACAGTTGCTCTTGACGTCCCACGTAGACGATCTATTGTGGGCTTGTGATCCGTCATGCGATTGGATCATGAACGATCTCATTGAGACGTTCAAATGCGGGAAGGTTGAGACCGGGAGCTTCAGGTACTGCGGGAAGGAGATAAGCCAAGACGAGGATTTCAATATCCATGTGACCTGCAGTGAGACAACGAGGAACGTGAACAAGATTCACGTTGACAAGAGGAGGCACCCGGGAGATCCCTTAACGGACTCTGACAAGACGCAGATGAAGAGCGTCGCTGGTTCCCTTGCTTGGGTTTGCAGACAATGCCGACCCGACTTAAGCTATAGGGTATCCAAGATCCAGTCGGCTTCTAGCAATGGTACCGTCGCTGACATCAGAGATGCCAACAAAGCGGTCGAGTACGCTATTAGCACATACGACAGAGGACTTGTTTTCAAGTCTGGGCTGTTGGACTGGAAGACACCAGGTGCTCTTTTGAGTCTGGTGATCACGGACGCTTCTCACGCGAATGAGTCCGAAGAGATGATCATAAATGAAATGACATCTGTGGAAGGACACCGGAGCCAAGGTGCAAGGATGGTGTTTCTTACAGACGGCGCCCTGTGGAAAGGGAACAAAGGTAGCATTCATCCCATCTTGTGGGCGAGCAACCTCGTTCGGAGGGTATGTCGCTCCACCATACAGGCAGAGGCCTACACACTTCAGGCAGGTGTGGAGGACGGTGACGTGCTGAGAGCAGCTGTCACTGACATCTTCGGATGCCTCGATATGAAAAGGTGGGAGGCTACGTCGGCCAAGTTTGTGAAACAGATCTGGATGACAGACTGCAAGAGTCTGGAACTGACGCTTTCGAATCCGAAATGCAATAAGCATTCGGACAAGAGATTGAGCATCGAGATCGCGTCTCTCAGACAGGAGCTATGGCGCAAAGCTGGCGAGAAAGCAGGAGATCCGTTTTACGACGACTACAAGCCAGTAGATGATCAGTTAACTGACATCGTCAGATGGATAGACACTGACGTGATGATCGCTGATCCGTTGACGAAGGTCATGGAGCCGGTCAAGTTGGTTGAAGCTCTGAAAACCAACACACTCGACGTAGAGCAGCCGCTCGAGAGTGTCGTGAAGAAGCGCGCCAAGCAGCTTCAGAGGAGGTCGACGAAGAAAGAACAGGACAACGAGCAAGACCGTTGATCCTTGAGCACGAAGTCTCACCACACTGACGCTGTAAGAGTCACGGGTGTGAAACTAACCTGTTTTGCAGCGCGTACAGTGTGTGTACCTAGCGTTTTGTACAGTTGCAGACGTTCCCCTCTACCGCAGGGGCCCCTTGGACCAAGCCTACGGCTTTGCGGAAAAGTGACTAGTCTTCGCAATTGCTATTCTGGCATTACGTTACAGTGTGTTCTGTTCTGTTCTGATTCTCATATATTTATATTCATGATGTTACATGATGTTATATCACGAGTTGTGTTAGATCACGTTGGGCCATATGAAGTACAAGTACATTAACTTTAAATTGTATCATCAATATTGTAGGACATTGCTTTGCAGCATATCCTGCTATGAAATATTTTCCATATTTCTACTATGCCATGTGATATGACAGTGCCAATGTCATACCATATCATATCACAGCAGTATGTTGCATTTTTGTGGAGCATTATTTTATGGTTGTATCACGTCAGGTTATAGTGTGTTGCTTCATATGATGCGATTTCATATTATATCCCATTTTTGTCTAGTATATTATCGTCTAGTCGAGTATACGCCAGTAGTATAGTATATGACATTCTGGTTTCACTACCATACCACACACATATCTACATATGTGTATATGTATATATGTGTGTGTATGTGTGCATATACATACATATATATATATTCATAACACGTATGAGTATATCTACATATGTATATGCATGTATCTACATATACATACATACATACATACATACACACATATACACATACACAGACAAATACACATACATATACATATACGTATACATGTACATGTACATACACATATATCTACATATACATATTTATGTGTATGTATATGTATATTATACATATACATACACATATACATATACACACGCATAGATACATGTATATAGATGTATACATTGATCTAGGTCCGGAAGCCATTCACACGATTGGTGTTTGTTCATGTGCTGCAGGCATAGTAACAATGATCATGGTAGTAGTAAATGTGATTCATTGTGGTAGCAATGCGAGCTACAGAATCAATCAGACGGACAGGAGGACAATGACATGGATATGTCAAATGGTGGTTCATGTATGTTCAAGGCGGAGAGCGCGAGTGATTGAAATGATTATGGCAGGCTTTGTTGTGCAACTAGACTCCGCTACCCTCGGTTCCAGCGCAGTTAGCGATCAGCACGCTAGTCTGCCATGGCGGGTGATTGAAGCCGGTACACCCGACACACCATGGAAGGAGCGCCAAAACGCGGGGTATACAGTGGCAATTCATGGTATCATGGAGTCACGTTATTTAGTTGGGCTCGAATGCTTGGAGAAAGGCGAAAGCAGTGGGACTTTATCGTCAGGTTGAACTATCATCGTTGATGGATAATGATTTGATTGCGGACGCTTCCAGCATGGAAGGAGCTCGAGAGTCGAGCACCAAGACCAGGCGTTTATAATTGCCGCGCTGTAGGCTGGAATAGACGCAAGCTCCTGGTATTCTGTTGTTGCATGGTGCTCTCACTGTGTAGGCAATAACTTTTACAGTATTGCTGTCGTTTCCTGTTTGTGGATTTCGCTGGTGAGTGTCGTCGCTTGTCGCTTGCACAACAAGATCCTTTGATTCATTTCTGTCGAGACAGATTCAGTCTTGATGCCGCTGTTGCCGCCGCTGCAAGCGCAGACCCGAACCCCAAACTCCAATGCCCCATGTCCAAGCTGCATGCTGATCAGGACTCAGCTCCAACGGCGGGAAGCTTTGGGGTCCTTACAATAGGATCCTACTATTTAGGGTAATTACTATATTAGGGTCCCCCATTTTCGGAAACTCCCAAGTGGGCCTCCAACAAAGGCCGGCAGCTTCACCTGTTTGGCGATCTCGGGGGGTTTCCGGGTTCGAGCCCCGTCGTTCGTGAGGTACGGATAAGTCGCGCCTTCCAACCCCAGTCCCAGGTTCTTCAATGTCGACATTTGCTTTTGCCTGAAGGGGAGCTCTCCACCGGAAGCTGGGCTGATGCCGCAACGGTTTTGAGCAAAAGGGCTCTTTGCGCGTATTCGGAATCTGTGCCTTGAGTCCTCATGCCTCTCGCGCAAAGCAGCCCCAGCTGATTCAGTTTTCCGTGCTTGGCTCCGTGAAGCTCGAAAAGCATTGCAGCGATGCTGTGCATCTGGAACGGCCTGCTTCATTAGCGACTTACTCGTGTGGTTGGCTTTTTGCATCCTTGGAGAGGCTTTTAAGGAAAGACGGGGCCAGTGAGGCTCCCAGCCATGCGTCGCGGGCGTGGATGGCGGATGAAGGCGGACTCCAACACGCCTTCAAACGAGGATTCACCAGCGACTCCGACAACTAACTCATGCGGAGAGCAGTTTCCGCGCCTTGATTCAAGGCTGCTGGCTGCTTCCAGAGGGCCTCTTTTTTGTTGCACTCTGCCATTCCGAGGAGCCGAAACGAGCAAGCTGCAAAGGGCAACGAGGCTGAGGTTTTGCCCAGGACGCCGACAAGCGGCACTCGCAGAAGGCGCCTTGATGGATGGGTGCAGTGGGCCTTCTTTGTTGCACTCGACATACTCGACCATGCTGAGGCGTCGAAACCGGAAAGCCGCAAATGCACCGAAAAGTACTGGCGCACCGCGCCTTGGTGCAAGCAGGCTGGATTGCCGCCACACGCCCCCTTCTCGTCCCCTGCCATTCTCAGGCCTCCAGACCCGGCAACTGGAAAGTGCCTTGGCCAGCAAACGGGACCACGCAACAGGATCATACATGTGCAACTCACCTACGGGCAAAGCATGACGTAGCCAGCGAGGCTCCCTCCCGCAGCCATGTGGCGTGGGCGTGGACGGCGGATGAAGGCGACCTCCGACGAGCTTTCAAACGAAGGTTTGCCAGCGAAGCCTTTAAGTGGCCCAGGCCGAAGGCGCCTTGATTTAAGCATGCTGGATGGGTGCAGCGAGCATCTTATTGTTGCACTCGGCCGCTGAGGCATCGAAATGCTGAGAAGAGGAACGAGAATTTGCTGACGACGCCACGCGGAAAACAGCGCCTTGAATGAAGCATGCTGGACGGCCGCAGCGGGCCCCTGTTCGCTGCACGCGGCCATTCCGAGGCCTCCAGACCCGGAAAACATGTAAAGCGCCTCGAGCAGTGTGCCTCCGTTCGCTGAACTCGGACATTCTGAGGCATCTCGTATGGAGGCCGAAAATTGGCACATGCGGAGAGCAGTTTCCGTGCCTTGGTGCAAGCATGCTGGGTGGATGCAGTGTGCTTCTGTTTGCTGAACTCGGCCACAACGAGAGGCTCCTGCAGCGTGTCCAACAGCTGGAGTCCAAGTGGCTTGGCTGCGATCCCCAGAATGGTCCGGGGGTGCGTAGATCGTCCCTGCAAGCAGCGACACACCCAAGCAAGCTGCACGGCCAGTGTTGGATTTCGTTCTGGCCACTCCTGAACAAAGAACGAGTGAAAGAGCTCTCCATGCCCGTACCAACCATGCCATAGGGAGGCATTGGGAAATGACATGTCGGGTGTTGAGCTCATAGAAGGCACAAACATGAGACCTTTTGCAACATACGTCCGCAGGGTTCTCCGGCACTTGTGTTTGTTTCCCAAGCGCCTTTGATGCCGTGCTTACCTCCAGGACATCCATGCAGCGCGAAATCTTGTGCGGCATATGCCAGGGAGGCTTCTTCGCTACAGTGCACATCCCAGGTGCCAAGAGATGGAGTTGCGGCTGGCAGAGCTATCTCGCACCGAGGACGGCAGTGGTTTTTATAATCAGATCGGTTGTACAAGGCCTGCTCCGAAACTGGAGGAGCATCAGCTAACATCAGGCAGCATATTGTGTGGTTTCCTGCGATGCCCCAAGCCTGCTGCACATAGCATCCGAGCTTTCTTAGACCAACGTCTGCAAGCATGGAATCCCTGAAGCGCATGGCAAAAGCTGCCGAAGACATACACGGAGCCAGTCCTGCAAGACAGTCTGTTCAGTGCATTTCAGCGCAGGGCCCCCGACATGACCGGGCCGATGCAGCTTGCCAGACGGACGGTGAGGGCTGCTCTGCCTCTTGCCGAAAGCCCATGAGCCGTTCCCCCGCACGAATGCGGCACTCATGCTTGTTCATGAAGATGAGCTCAGGTCGCTTGGTCTTTGCCGAAGACCTCGACGGCTTCCTCGACAACTTCAACGACCAGTTGCCAAAGCCCAATTGCAGCTGGGCCAAGAGGAAGACAGCCGAGAGTCCGAGATCAGTGGAGTGCCAACAGCACTTGAATGAGCTTGTTTGCTCGTGGGCTGCCAGGAAACGGCTGAACGGTCACTAAAGCATCAGCCCATGGCTTTGTCAGCGAGTTCGGTGCGTGCATGCGGAGGTTGGTGATGGGGATTCTGCTCACGAAGTATTCATGATGCTCCTCGGTTTATGTAGGATCTGCAGCAGTTTCCCGCAGATCCCATGCAACGTCTCTGCCGATGCCCCCAACTCTGAGGCCAAACCTGCTGCCGTACCTGAGTGCGCCTTGGTTGTGAAGCGAACGCTGGCAGGTCCGTGGACAATGTGTCGGAAGGTTTTTTTTGTTGAGGTCTCCTCGCGTGTGAAGTGCATGCACTTCACTAGAGGTGGAGGATCTGCTGCACTGGCGCCGGCTGTCGCAGCGGACCAGAAGTCCCCAGGCCAGGTGCCCGGTCCGCTTCTGAAAGATCCCACACCTGTTGAAGCATCGGCGCTTCCTTGAGCGTAAGAAGTGACAGCTCCGTGAACTTGGCAGTTGCTGATGCTTGCGTGGACACTTGTGGTCAGCCGGTTCCATTCCAAAGCCGGACAGACGTGAATTCTGTGACCTGCAGCCTGTCGTTCACCAGCCCAAGCAAGAAAATCACGAAGTTCGCACATGTTATACGGGGCATGAACTCACATTGAAAACGCATCATCAGCCAACCATTGGCGTTACTTGCCATGCCGACACAGGAGATGCCCCAAAAATTGGCACCTATGGATGAGGCAGTGTGGTTGGGGCAGCCCCTCTCCGGCAACCCAGCCCGGGACAAAGCCAAAACCATCGACTACATGCGTTACAACACGCTGTTCATCGCCGTGTTGCACATCTCGAACTGGCAGACATCTTACCAGGGGGAGCCTAAAGCCACTCGTAAGGAGGCGGCAAACTCGGCCGCCGAGAAATTCCATGAGGATGCCTGCGTTCAGAACCAGATCAAGAAGCTGCACGCTGAAGAAAGCAAAAGTGAAGCCAAAAAGCGCATCTTCCTGCTCAAGGCGGGTGGTAGGGCAAAAAAGCCCAGACCTTGATCTGATGGGATGACACGTTCCATGAGCGCCAAGTCGCTGGATTGACGCGCAGTGCGGCATCGGAGCACTCGAAAAATGTTGCAACTGACACCTGCATTGCGTTTGCTTCCGGTTTTGCAGCTTCATGTCATGTTTCGGGAGAATAATGCTGTCAGGTGGCAAGTACTTTGTTCTCACGAGGCCGTGGTCTAGCGCGCTTGCCCTTACGGGGGCAAGCGACCTGGACTTACGCAAATTGTTTAATCACATTGTACATGTCGCCCAGTGCAGCACCTGGTGGGTCCGGCATCTGAGTCTGTACTTGGGAGGCCGACAAAGCGCAAAATGCAGCGCAAAGCATTGCTCCGCGCCCAGTGAAGGCACGGGACCGGTGCTGACTGATAGAAGGTTTGCGCTGCAATGGGAAATGTGTCATGGCAAAACACAAGGGCACGGCATATTTTTTAATACCCCTGCCCATGGGGAGAGATCAACAGCTTTTCCGTAGCGATCATGTTTCGCCTGCGCTAAGTACTGCTATGTCATGTGTTCTCTAAGACACGTATGCACGCAAAGATGTTAAACGCTTGATTTCCTTGATTCACAGAGCAAAATCTGGGCAGGCAAAACCGCTTCATTTTCCTGCATACATACATGCTCACATACATACATGCATACATACACACGCACATACATACAGATCCATCCATCCATCCGTCCATCCGTCCGTCCATCCATCCATCCATCCATCCATCCATCCATGCATGCATCCATCCATCCATCCATCCATCCATCCATCCATCCATCCGCGCACACATACACGTACACGTACAATCTGTACATGTTTGCGCAGAAATCCACCTTCCGACCTTATTGCCTGCCTGCTTGCCTACCTACTTACCTACCCACCTAACGACCGATGTACCTACATACATAGGTACGTATGTATTTGTGTAAGTGTGTAATTACTGTGACTGTGTATGTGATACATACGGGGTTGAGGGTGTCGTTTTTTTGTTCGGGCTGCGATTCCTGTGCCAGAGGTGCGCAAAGAAGATGTGCCAAGTTCGCCTCAGCTGCTTCGTCCTTGTGGGGAGGTGTTTCGAGCAGCTCGTGCCGCGGTGGCGACGGCCTGGAAGTTGGAGGAGTCGGCGGTGCTGGCGGTGCCGGAAGGTGGTCGGGGCCCCAGAGGTGTCTCACAAAGTACATGGAGAGCGCTAGAAGAGGGGACGAGGGGGACCCGTGGCCAGTCCTGAGCAGGATCTGCAGTGACCGATGCTACTGGACATGCCACAGCCCAAAACTCAACATTGGTGCATCTGTCATAAGTCGAATGCAGCCAGGCAGACATGCAGCCACATCCGCGAGCATTGACGGCCGCGCAAATGCTTCGAAGCAAGGGCCTTGATCACAAATGCACCATGACATTGGCATGTTTGTTTCTTGCGCCAGGCAATCGTTGCTATGCTGTTCATCGCTCAGGTGCAGACGCTTTGGTCGATTCGTCGGCGCGAGGAGAACCCAAAAGGAGATTCAGCTGGTGCGAGGCCATTTGTGTCAGCGTGGCTCTTGCCCATCCATTTATTGAGCTGGCACGTTTCAGGCTGTAAAGCTTGTGCCTGAGATGGCTCCGGCCCCAGCCACGCAGCAAGTGTTGGAGTATTTGCCGCTGCGTCATGGTCTAGCTAGCGCGCGGCAGGCGAACATGACCAGGCATGACCTTGACGTTGTCTGGCCCCGAAAAGCCGAGCCAATGTTTGACAATGTGCCGATATCACTTGTTGAGGTCAAAAGCCTCCTTGCATTGAGCGACAGCGAGTTTTCAGCAGTGGCTACGCGAGTGCAGGACAAGATGTGTAGTATCGCGCTACCTTGATGGGTTTTCGGCTGTGCCCACCAGTGCGACTTACGTGTTCATTGCAAATCCGACAGTCAGCATCATTCAACATGGTTCCCGGTTTGCAGGAAGCTTTCATCTTCCCCAAAGTGGGCGCTTTCGAGGAGTAGGCGCGGCAGATTTGCCACAGACGTCATCATCCGTCATTCATGTTTCTCGTCCTATTTCCACGCCAAGGCGAAGCGTCTACCAGGTCCTTGGACGACTAGGTGAAGGAGGATTTGGATGCGCCCATTCCTCGGTCGCAAGTAGGGAGCCCTGTGACGCGATGCTGTTTTTGAGGTTTGGAGGTGTGCTCAAGGCAGTCAATTCAACGAGGCATGGCGGCATGACATAGCCTGAACAGAAGAAGGATCGTGTTGCCTGGCATGCCAGGTCGCCATCAAAGTCCTGTCCCTGGCAGATGCCAGGGAGCGGCAGATGTTCTGGGACAGCTGGGGCTTCTTTGTCCATGCGTGCTTTTCGTACTTCAGAAAACTAGAAAAGCAATGCGAGACCGTAGCAACCAGAGGGAACTAGCAGAATCCAACAAAGTTGGAGGGAACGATCCTCGACTCAGCAAGCTATCGTAGCAGCGAGCATCCACCTGCCGTGTTGGAATCCATGGTGTCTTCAAGACGCAGAGCCGCTCGGTTGTCTTTTTTCTGGGCCTGTCTTGGGGTAGTTGTTGAGGTCGGGGTATTGGAAGATGCATGGCGACCATACCTAGTCATTCATCCTCTTGTCCACGCATCATGCTTGCAATGTACATCAGGTTGTGGCTCATTTCACATCGGCTGCACGTAGTATGCAGCTGCCGAGGGTCCGCTGACATATGGGCATCAAGGTTTGGTGAGGGGTGTCGGGCTGTCTTCATCCTGCCATAATTATCAGGACTCTCGGATGGTGATGGCTTGAACGAATATCGCTTGTGTTGGGTGAAGTGGTACTGGGGGTATTGAAATTAGCGAAGCAACGCATTCGTTCAAGCGCGCGCCATGCAAGATACGCGCTGCTGCATGGAGTTTCGGCAATGCAGGTTTTTCAGCCCTTCCAGCCGAATCAGATGCGTAGTTGGCATAAGCAAGATGCGGAGTAGTCGACGAAACGCCATCAGTCATGGCCGCCGCCGTCTGTCTTTTCGACTCTCAAAGCTTGAGGAGTCGCTTGCCTTTTCTGCCATCGTCATCCTGATTCTCTCTGTCTCTGTCTCAATCTTCTCGCTCAGCCTCTGTCCCAGTTGGCAGGAAAACCCACAGCCATCAGATAAGGAACAACAACATCTCGCTAGCCATGATCAAGGGACCCGGGACCTCTGTTAAATGTGCACGGTCTCAGGGCTTCATCGCGCAAAAACAATCTCTTGTTCGAAGAAGAACAAGGCCAGCAGCAACAACCACAACAACCACGAACAATTGCAACAACCATAACCACCACCACCACCACCACCACCACCACCACCACCACCACCACCACCACCACCACCACCACCACCACCACCACCACCACCACCACCACCACCACCACCACCACCACCACCACCACCACCACAAGCCAGTGGCTGTAGTCAACTGTTCAACCAAGACACCCTGCAATGCGGGCTTCGTCCTCGCTAGGTAGGAGGGAAAAAACCACCACCACCACCACCACCACCACCGCCACCACCGCCACCACCGCCACCACCGCCACCACCGCCACCACCGCCTCCACCGCCGCCACCGCCGCCACCGCCAACGCCCCCACCACTGGCCCACCACCACCACCGCCACCACCACCGCCACCAGCAGCAGCAGCAGCAGCAGTAGCAGCGGCAGCAGCAGCAGCACGATGACCATGACGGCGACCGCAATGATTACGACGACGACGACCAAGACGACCACCACGACGACCGTGACAACGACCGCGCTGACAACCACGACGACGACCACGGCAACGGCAACAGCAACAGCAGCAGCAGCAGCAGCAGCAGCAGCAGCAGCAGCAGCAGCAGCGGCAGCAGCAGCAACAGCGACAGCGACAACGACAACAACAACAGCAACCAAAGCAACAACAGCAGCAGCAACAACAACAACAACAACAGCTGCAACAGCAGGGGCAACAACGGCAACAACAGCAAGATTTCACGTGCTGCCATTTCTGGATTTCGTTGTCCTGGGCACGCCACTCAAGAAATGTTTTCAGCACAGCAGCATCTTGTCCGGCAGCTTGGTCTAGGAGCTGCGTCAATGTGCCTCCGTGCACTTGATATCGCTTCTGGATGCGTTTGTTGCGTGCAGCCCCAAGCTTCAGTTCGCAAGCAGTGCCGAAAGCAACAGTCTCGAACACGCAGGCCGAGGGGGCTGTGCTTGGTGCTGCCACTGCTCGGCCCGAGCCTGGCGAACCTCCTGCAGCCACTCGCTGCACATTGGGAGCCAAAAAACACAAAGCAAATCGCTTGCATCATCAGTGCATCCAGTGTTTTGAGCAAAGGAGTGGGCCTATGTACGTGGCGGACGTGCAGAAGGCTGCTCTTCAGCTCGTGGCCGGCTTGACGGCCTTGCAGCGCGCCAAGGCTGGATTCTCAAGTGTTGTCATCCTCTGGATGATGCTTGCTTATGGCAGGTGGTGCACGGCGACCTTAAGCCAGGCAACATCTTGCTCAGCGGCTCACTTCAGCCCAGTCAAGCACCCAGCACGATTATAAGGCCGAAGATTCAGTCTTGTCAGTCGCTGGACGCGGGGACGTGGGGGATCTACGTGCATACTGGTGGATGTGGGTGGCGAAAGGGGACGGGTGGGCCGTTTGAGCCTCTTGGTTAGATTTTGGAAAGCTTGGAAGCGAGTGCTTTTATAGGCTTCAGAAGGCAGGCCGTTTGAAGACCCTCCAGAATGAGCAGGATACGCAGCCCCACGTTTTCCATGCGAGCGGTGTTTCCTGCTCAAGCAAGGTCTTCCTCCAGCACGTTCCCGACGCCGAGAGCAATGCCAGTCCGCCGCTTACAGCATGCGCATTTTTTTCCGCAGATCTGTGTTAAAAGACTTGCACATGATGCCAGGCAGTACATGCGCCCGGTTGCGCTCAGCATCAAAATCGCCGATTTCGGGAACGCCAAGCAGCCCTCTCAGAGAAGTGCCTTGTGCAGTAAACCAATTTCGCAGTGTCAACCACGAAGGAAGGCTGGACCTGGTCGGCACTTGAATGGGACCCTTCCCTACAGATCCCCCGAGGACAGTGTGATTCGACACTGGGTTCCTAGGGTCCTAGGGCATCCTAGGGCCAAGCTGCCAGCATCTTCCTAGCATGCTTTCGACAGCTAAACGAGCGCAAGAAATCCCAACCATGGTGGCGCGCTGTGAGCATGGAGCTGTTGTACAGTGCTTTTCTTCATGGTTTAGTATGTTGCCAAGTCACGGCTTCCAGGATTATGTCGACGGGCTGAAAGCGCGGCACGAAACCGATTACTGGGCGTTGGGGTCCACCTGGCATGGGTTGGAGTCGTTGCTGCGCGACCTTGCCACCCTGAGCAAGCTGGGTTGGGACAGCTTTGGTTGCCGTTAGTGTTTGCAGCCCTTGCACACAGGAAGATGATTTTAACGGAGTCAGTAGCCGCACATGTGATTTGTAGCCACCTTTGCGTTACTCTTGTGCACGTGCACAGCAGTGCAGAAACTCGCGGCAATTGCGCACCAGCAGCAAAATGTCGGCGCTTGTTGCGTTATCGCTGAATGCGCGTGCACCATCACTCATGGGATGCACAAGCATGCCAGTGTGCACAGGAGTGGTATGCAACCGTAGGCAAAAAAACATGTCACTATTCATCCAATACTTTTCACAAGATGCATGTGCGCAGCCAAACAGTGAACGCATTCGAGATGCGTGCCGCGAAAAGCTTTTTCAAGTTGGCTTGCATGCAACATGCACACACTACTCCTGGCGAACGCACCGAGGTTGACATTCGCACAGCATTTGTTTACAAAAGGGTGGAACATGCGGGTATTTGGCAGGATAGACAGCCATGGACAAAAAGCATGCATTTCGCAGGAGTCGCACACACGGAAAGGTGATACTGTATTTCGCAGGACAGAACCTGTGCGGGTTGACATAAGGACCACCAGTCGCATATGACGGCTAATGATATAGGCTCAGTTTCAAGAAGCATGCATGGACATGATGGTTTGGAAAGGAATGCTCGCACTCATAGCAAAGATGCGTCGATGTCAAACTGCATCAGCAAACCACCCGTTCCGTTGGAACCTCAAATTCTGCAGGCTACGTGCGGCTTGCGCAGCACTACAGAGGTTTGCGTTATGGAGTTTACAAGTGTTAAGATAGCATCTTGAAGATATACACAGAAGTGGTTCAGAGTTCCTTGGGTCAACCTTGCATATGCTTGGGCTGAAGACGTTGAGGGAGTTGTCCATGAAATCTCGACCCGGAAGTGCTTTGGGGTAGTGTGTGTGTGTGTGTGTGTGTGTGTGTCTGTGTGTCTGTGTGTGTGTGTGCCAGGTGCGTAGTGGCGGAGCTCTACCAGGGATGGCCGCTGTTCTCCTGTGTAAGGAGCGTCGCAGACCACTTGGCCCGTATGCAACGGGTGGTGCCAGGGCTGCAGGCGCATCCATTGAGCCTGCGGAACGATGTTTTTGGACGGGCCTCCGACTTTACGGCCAAATTCACGCCCAATTTAAGGGTTTGTCGGGCGCAAAGCTTTAACTGTGTATGGTGCTGAGTTGATTGTGCACAATGTGTACCATGTCAAAAGATCGTGGAAAAGCGATTGCTGGGTAGCTCGGGATTGAACCGACCAACGTGTGCTCATGCATCCGCATAATTAAGGATCAGTTCCTTTAACGTGCATTCAGAAGCTTGTTCACAGTTTACGACAGGCGCTCATCTTGCGGAAGCATTGGCGGCTGGCGGATTGGGCAGGCCGACGATTTGCCACGATTTAATTGTGTGAATGATGATATTTGGTTTCCAGTTTGCAGACGCAGGCTGCGGCTGCAGTCCGCATTGTTGTTGCCGTTGTTGCCCTGAGGAATCCTTCTTCAGCTCAAGCCGGAGCGCCGCCGGCTCTGCCCAGAGCATCCATTTTTCCGCCAATGAGTGCAAGAGTAAAAATTGCAGGGGCCCGCCGCCGCCAGTATCCATTTCTGTTCGGCACCACCCGCTCAGATATATCTACGAGTAATCATAACACCGGATGTCTGCAACTACTGTTTCAACCAAAGCCACACGTGCTACGTGGGAAAGGGAAGGCTGCGAACATCAGATAGCCTGACAGTCCGCCAGCATAGTTCCGCCACTGTTGCGCCCCTTTTTTCCAATCACACCTTCCTGCACCTGCTTCCGTCGCTGAGTTACAAGTAGCTTGCATGTCGTTCATGTTGGTTCTAGATCCATGCTAGTGTAGTGGAACCAGCGGTTTGGGATTTTAAATACCGACATCCATCGCGCCGACACAAGCCGGACTTGAGACCTCCGAAAGCGTTGCTGAGTCTTTGCAAGTATTAACCATCTTTGCAAAAATTAAACCATCATCTACTATTTGCTTAAGAACCCCCAAAAAATAAAAAATGTATATATTCTATATAGGGATAATATAGGGATTATATTTTTTATTTTTTGGGAGGGTTCTTAAGCAAATAGTAGTCATGTAGTAAAGCAATGAAGTGGAGAACTGTCCTCCTGATGCGTGTCGGCAGTCCGGGGCATTGGAATATCAGCAGGGACAAACCTATGCCTTTGGCACATCCGCGTCCGAGTACGATTACTTCATGTTTGGATATGCAGGCGGGCGTTCGTCGACAGAATTCTACCAACTTCCTGCCGCTCCGAGCAACCCGAATCAATCCTGTGCACTGCCGCAGACAACCCCATCCCCAGATGCCAACACCATCGAGACGCTGCTCAGCAACGGAACTGGCCAGGAGCAGTAAGTGGTTTGGTATGCCAACTATGTGAGGGTGCCGCCAAGCTCGGTCACCCTTCGGAATCCACTCGGGGTTGCCTTCGACTTATTGCAACTGGTTGTGGAGAGGTAGTCTACTACGAAGCAGAAAATCGCAATCTTACCTGCATTGATCCAGACTTTTTGCGGACCTCCTGCTGAACATGCGCTTTCATGTCACACTTCCCGCGAGCGATGAGGCTGGGGTTGTTGCTGTCGTTGCCCAGCTCGTGAGTGATCCAGAAGCTTTCGTGGAGGCTTTCTTTGCAGTCTTGCCGACGTTCTTCCCCGGCATCCAACATGAAATCGGCAATGGAACGCTCACAGGTGTCGGTGCAGTCTTGCAGTCAGCAACGACGACCACGCTTTCCCAGGAGCTCCTGGCAGCTGAGCCCAATACCACCCCGGCACCTCGCCATGCTGTCCTACACGACCTCGCCATCAGAGTTTGTACGCTTCGGAGGCGTGCTGACAAACGAGGTCTTGCTCTACAGGCCACAGCTCGGATCTGTAAATTGGACCGACGTCACGCTCGCGGTCTCGGGCCCAGGTCCAACGTTTGAGGCCTCGTTTGCCTATTCTGGTTTTTGGAGGCAGATTCAGCACACAGAACTCCGCCTACGCTCCCAATAATGTGTATTTGCTCACTGGTGCAAGCCTGACATACGTGTGGACCCAGGTCTCCCCAGCTTCGGCTTCGTCTGCACCTAGCCAGCGTCGCTATCACACTGCGGTGGTAGTCCAGAAGGATGGAGCCTACATGATGCTGATCTACGATGGGAATTCCCTGAGCAATATCTATGGAGGTTTGTATGCATTCTTTACCGGCAACAGCACCTGGCGCCAGCTCCAGGACGACAGTGTCGGGCCGCCAAACTATCCTGCGCCACGCTAGGAGCATTGAGCCGTTTTGGTCTAGGAGAGCTACCGCATGATGGTCTTTGCAGGGGTGGTCCAAGGGGTGGGTTACGACATTGGTGCGATTTCATGGGCCGAGGTGGATTGCCAGAAGTCCGCTACGGGCAAATCGCTGTATGGACGGGAAGCCAAGTCGAGCCATGGTTGTCGCGAGTGGTCGGCGGCCTGGCGGCACATTGCCGGTGACCCCGCGTTTCTGGCAGTGGTATGAGTTCCCAGATCTGAACGGGACCTGGGTGCAGTTCGAGGAGCGCCCCGACCCGGACAACGAGGTCTCAGGCAGTGGGGTCTGGGACCCCCAGAACCTGACCATGTACTACGGCTTCCAGAATGGAGCAGATATCCTCTGGACGCGCTCTCTCGAGTGAGATGCAATGCCAAGCAACGTAGAGCCCCCGGATGCACGGCCCAAAAACTGCCATGCAGGCCGAAAAACACATGTGCTTCTTCTGTGCAGTTTAACATTGGCCGTGTGTTTTTCTCAATAGCCTAGCCTAATGGCTTGGGCGGTTTCGTTGCAGAAGATTTGAGCAAGTCATCTCACCAAAACGTTGGGGAATTAGTTCGAGCATCCGCCTCGGGAAGGTCGCTGCCGGGACTGAGGTGCAGTAGCCCCAGAGGCTGCAAAAGGAACCGATTGCAAGTTCGTAGCCGCGTAGCAGAGATGACCAGACACGTCTGCAAGCTCATAGCAAGCTCATAGCCGCAGGGGCTGAGCATGGTGCACCGTCCAAGCAAGATCTGTGTAAGGGAATGAATGACTGTCGCGACGACTGCGAGGCTGTCTCTGGCTCGAAAAGGGGTCGGGCATGGGGCGCCTGGCATGGCATGTGATTCGAGCATCTCGGATGCACTGCTCCGCGTTTTGCCTTGTGCAATTCATGGAATTTTTTGTTTGTGTAGCCTGCTTGAAAACCCAGGCTCCGAACGAGAGCTTCTGCCCCAGAGCAAGAGTCGCCGACAAGATCTTTGGCACTTTTTTCCAGTGTTCCCGGTGTGCGGACGCGCACGCCGACTCCCTTGCAGCCAATCTTGAAATTCAATCTTGCCAGCCCAGGTCCAGCGAGCACTCCAAGCCACGCAAGGCCAAGGCAGGGCGCGGAATGTGTGAACAAGTGCTAGGCATCGCTACTTGCCTAGATTTTGCCAGCTTTGAGTTAGGACCCCCCTCGCCCCTTTTGGGCTATGGCACCACCCGCCCCCCAACCTAGTAATCCAACATATGAAATAGTCTTATTCACACGCTAGAACCGCAATACTCCTATCTGTCTAGGTGCCATAGCCTAAACAAGGCAAGGGGGGTCTTATAGAATTTAGGGTTTAGGTTTGGGGTTACGGGTTATCGTTGTTTCTTTCATTAGAGCAGATGATGCTACAACATCCTCTATTGCTTTACAATTAGACGACACTAACGGAATTACTATTAACAGAGCAGTTACGAATAATCAGACGTTTAACAGTATAGGAAAAATAACAGCAGAAGCAGATTTAGATGTATGGGGTGGTGTTTATTTTCAACATTCATCAGCAATAAAGGAAACTTTAAACGGTAGTGATTATGATTTAGATATAAGAAACGAAAACCACCGATAGAGCAATTAACTTCATCATTGGAACTATAGGAAGCACACCGGAGTTATCATTGAGCGAAGTGAAAGTTACTTTATTGGGTAACTTGGAAATAACTCACGACGATATAACAGGACAGCAGCGGGTATTAATATATAATCCAGATGACAACGGATGGATAAGATTAAGTAACAATAACTTGTCAACATTAGACGCAGCAAGAGCAGGTGTCGATGTTTATGGTGACCGTTCATATACATGGTCGTTAATTCCTTCATCGGATAAAAGATTCAAGAAAGACATAAAAGAAGTAAATAATCAAAACGCAGTAGAGTTAATAAAGTATATTAAACCGAGAACATATCATTTTAATGATGACAGACAACAAGGTAAATCGTGTATTGTATTTATTGCTAATGATTTTATGGAAACGAAGAAGATGCCAGATGAATGGCAGAATGTAGTAAACGAAGGAAAAGCTGGCTACTTAAAATTTGATTATACAACATGTGTGCCAATTTTATGGAGTGCTTTACAGGCAACAATAAATGAAGTAGATAAATTGAAAAAAAGAAGTAAATAAGTTGAAGAAGAACAGGAGTGATGGCGATTAAACAATATTTATCTAAATTTCATTATATGGGTTCTACATCTTCTAAGTCTTCTGCTGCTGAAATTATGAAACAAATAAAAGAGTTAGATATTAATGAAAAACAAGAACAGATGCGTTGTTATTTAATGCCATGAAAGATGTTATTGAAAGAGTTGAGGAGTTGGAGGAAACAAAAAGAGATGAAATACATTATAATATATTATAAACTACCTGCTATAAACTTGTGTAGTTACTCGTCGATTTCATTAAAAAGATTACCAATAAATAATGTTGTTGATCACCTGTTTCAACGCGTTGTTCAAAGTTAATGAAGAACGTTTTGCTAACATCTTTAGCATTGGTGTTTATGACCCCCTGTAGATTTTCAATATTAGGTTCTGTACCAATACCTTTTTACCACCTGTTGAAGAAGCCACGCACAACATCTGTGCGGGTAGCTTTGGCATCATGTCAAACTTGCTGTTTTTATACTTGTATTCGGGTATGTCTACAGGTTCCACTTTAGGTATTTCTTCGCAAATTACTTAATAGGAGAAAAATACTTTTTAATATAATAATGAACAAGTATATAGAGAACGATTGACGATTGAGGAGATTGAGGAAATTGAGAAGATTGTAATACAAGACACCAAGCTTAAAAGGTGTTGCACCGCTTCTGTAGAATTGCTTAAGGCAGTTCTTGAGCATTTAAAACATCCGAGAAAGTATCATGAAAGACAATCATAGGGAAATTAACGAAGGTGGCTTCCACTTAAACACAAGTGGATTAAACTGCTTACCTTGTCAAATGTAGAAAAAAGATTTTTCACAAAGAAACTAAGATAAACAACGAAGGTACAGCAATCATTGAAGACAGGAGTAGCTGGAAGATGGGAAGAGGAACTACACCCGATGAAAACGACATATTACAAACAAACTCACAAGATAATGAAGGTGTTGATACAACGACCACCGGGTGGGGATCACGAAAACCTACGCCAGAACAGAGATTAGAAAACGTGGAAGAGGATGTTGAAAGGATAGGCAAAGATGTAAATATTTTGAAGAATACTTTAAATATTATGGTTTAAAACTTAGTCTGTAATGACAGGCCATCTTGGCATATAGAAAATCCCCTCATTGAAAACAGAAGCAGAAATTCAGCCAATGCCCCCGTGTGCCTAGCAGGTTCTACAGGTTCATAGGCAAACCATAAGAGTTTGGAAATGACATTAACTCGTAATTAGTTTCGTTAAATCTTAAGGTAAAAATCTTGTTATAACTAGTATTTACAACAACATTCCAACATATAATATTAATAATGCCAACAAATGCAAATAAGATATTAGTTGATTTTGAACCATATAGTGAAACTGGCAATGTTGTTACTGGAAGTGCTATCGTTGCAAGCAAGTCAAACACATTGATTGTTTCAAGCGGTGCTATTACGCGGGTAAGCATTCTTATCGTTATGTTAAATACATTGCGGCTTGTTCTGAATGTTTAGATAATACCCAGGTTCGGTGAGTGAGAATATATTCTATAGAAAATGTTCTAAAGACTATGTACTTTGTTATGATTAGATGAATAATGGCACCGTTAGAAGAGCAAAGAAAACAAACTGGATTCAATTAAATTTGATCACAAACACAAAGAATAATTAATACATCGGGAGCACGTTTAAAAGTTTAGACACGAGATTTGAACAACACAAACAGCAATGTAATAATAAATTTGTGAAAACTTTAATACAAGAGAGCACAAATTAACATTACCAACGATACAGCCCGGCAAAAAAACGATACAACCGGAACCAGAGGAAGCACAATCAACCGAAAGCGAAGATATTGAACGCAAGGAAGATCCTTGCTACGATGAAGTGTACAGCAACTTTAATGAATCGGATTTTACAGATGGTCGCACCATTGACGAAGAGTATTTGGAGGATAATGCGAGACTAAATCACGAAGTCAATATGCTGAAGAAACAACTGTTAGATTATGATATTAAAATAAGTACCTTTCTAAGTTTCAACTCCTTTGACAGCAATGATTCTGAATGGATGAGAACGAGAGTCAAGAAAATCAAGAAAATGAACGATGGCGTATTTAATAAAGATCGTGTCCTTGACAAAGACTTAAATGTGGAACAGTCAGCTGAAGCACTATTAGCATAGTTATAATGTAATTATAGTACATAAGCAGTTATAGATTATAATTACAGTATTGTTTTAACCCTAAACCCTGAACCAAATTCTAACAAGGAACCCCTTGCCCAGTTTGGGTAATGATACCACCTTGGAGAATATAGATGGGTTAATTGGTTATTCCTATACTTGTATTGATAATGGGGAAGTAGTAGTGATATATTGGGTGGAGTGTAGGGGGGAGTATAGGAATAATCGTCTAATGGGCTGACTGGTGGTATTATTACCCAAACTGGGCAAGGGGTCTGCTAACTCTTTGTGGGGCATGTTTGTCATGCAAGAGACGCGCTTCTTTGAATGCTCTTGAGTTCGCTGCAGCTGTGTTCTTTTTGGACGTGTGCCTGCCTGAGCGAGAACGAGCTAAATGCTCTCGTAGTAGTGCAAACCGTGTAAAGCCAAGGTTTCTCAAGCTGGAATGCTGAACGTTTTGCGACTGTCTTCCTCTGTCTCATCTCTGTTTCGTTGGGTTGAAGTTCTTGGCAGGCCAGCGACAGCACGGAGGACACGGTCGGCCAGTGGTTGAGCTATTGGTTTCCTGCATGTTCTGCCGCATTCGGCAAGATTGCAACATGTCATTATGTCCTTCTCCAACATGGTAGATCTTGTTGACGAGTTTCATGTTGCACATGTAGATATTCTTGTGCCTTGCCGACCCTGGCAGTTATCTATCAAGGGCAAAACTCCGAAGAACTCCAAAGAGCTGGCAGGACAAGTCTGCCTCTCCCAGCAAGGGCAAGGTGAAGAGGAAGAAGACTGACAGCCCAAACCCAAGACAAGATTCAAGATCCGGCCACGACAAGCAAAAGTTGCAGTGCATTCTGTTGGCTGCTCTCATGTTTGCGCATGAGGCTCGGAGGAGTCGACGCCTCAGAGCACTGCGATGTTACCTGTGGCAGCCATAAGCCAGCTTGTCCTGGCCATTGTCATGTCGTCCTTCTTGCGGAACTGCATGGTCCACGACGAGCATGTCGTATCTTTCGTGAAGCCTTGACCGGTCAAGTCCGTACTTTGCTCGCGGCCAGTGCTTGGGGTGCTTTCGGGTCCGTACTGTAGTAGGAGCTCATCTCAGATTGCTGAGGAAGAGTCCGGTTCCCGAGTCCACGGACGAAGAGGTGGAGGACACAAAATTGTGCAGTTCCTGGGTTTTAGCAGAAGCTGTGTGCAATGTCTGTTGGGCTTTTGCTGAATTCGACGCCTTTCCGATTCATACATACCGGCATATTGTGCCGGCGCACGATCTACAGGCCTGTCTGTGGGTGTGCAGCCTGCCTGGCGGTAAGAAGCGAGAGGGGTTGGCCGACACCTTCAGTGGCGCAATGCTCAGGAGGACAAGGCGGCCAAAGACAAGGCAGAGGCAGTCAACTTTGAGACGACATGGTTTGTGTCGATGGGCTAAACCTGCTTGGTTTGACATGACAGGCAAATGAAAGCTCTGACGAGAGCAGTGGAAATGAGGCGGCGGATGAAAGCGCCGGGTATGACTGGTGACAAGTGTTCTCCCAAGCCTGTTTCGGAAGGAAGGCCAGGATGAGGGCGATGACGGCGAAGAGTGCAAACAAGCGCAGGACGGAGTTTCGGTGGCAAGTTTCTGATCCGTCATTCTAGACTTCTAACCAGGAAGATGATCACATCACCACCACCGTCCTCATCGTCATGCTGTCGGTTGCACTACTCTTGTGGTGATGACGATGATCATGGCGCGGATGTTGATCATGGTTCGACTCAAGATGGTACATCCGTTGTGACGATGAAGCCGGTCAGGCGACCATGTGATCTTGATGATGATGATGATGTTGGTGGTCGTGACGATGATGCCAAGTCTGACGATGCTTTTTGTATCAACGTGTTCCTAAGCCTTAGTATTCATCAGAGATCCTGGGAGGAGGCCGCGGCGACAGCTGCAGAGCAGGCTCGGAACAATGACTCGAAAGACTGGCTAGCCTAGACTATTGTCAACATTACTGCATTCATAACCTATCATAAAATGTACACTGCTACAACACGCTGTAAGCCCCAATAAACTACTATACTATGAACTACAATAAAACCGCAAACTTTTCCATACACTTAAACTGTTATAGTTCCTGTGTTCAGGCCCAGACTGCAAGGTCAAAGCTGGAGGAGGCCAAGGCATCGCAATGAGAAGCCATGAGTCGGCAGGGGACTACGATGATGAGGGTTTAGGCAGTCCAGGCCAGGCGTCCTTGCAAGCAAGCCTGCAGCAAAAGGGCAGTTTAGGGTTAGCGGTTTAGGTGTTGCGGCCTGGGCAAAGGAAGAAGCCAGCTGCAGAGCATGCTGCAGCCTTTTCTTGGTTGCTTATCAGATGGTGTCCACAATAGCCTGGTTCAAGTAACTCTGCACAAAAACATGCGATGCACCAGGTGACGGTAACTGTCAGAAAAGATGCATGGACACAACATTCGTGAAGCTCAGCACCGCTAAGAAAAAGCGCGGCGGGTGTTACCGCAGCTATGGGAACGACCTGCTGCTGCACGGATCGACAGCCAGCGGGGGCGGAGGAAGTTTGCAATGATCAGCAGCAGGCACATTGACTCCTTAAGTAAAATTCCTCGTGATTTGCTGAGGGTGGGTCCTAAGTCTGCTGTGCCAGGTTCACTTGCGGTCAGTGTGGATGCAGAAGGCCCGCTGGATTTGACATGGCGCTCTGTAGTCTCGTGGTGTGACGGTCGAGACTGTTGGGCTCGATTGAATTGGAATCGGCGCAAGCAGTCACATCTTTAAGATTGTGATTGGGGTTTCTGCCGGAATCTCGCGTCGGAGGGGGCTGCGGGATCTTCAGCGAGCGTAGTCGTGAGTCCGTGCTTGCAGACCCTTGAAACTGAGGGCTGGCAAGTGCTGGAATCAGAAGGCCTGAGTGCCGAACCACCGCGCTTTGTCGACCAGGCGTGGCATCCCTGGACGAGGGAAAGCTTGCATTTTGGTCCTGTCAGGCTATGCCTGTAAAACCTCCCAGCCTGCTGGAGCAGCGTTGCTGCAAGACCTGGGGTTGGCGCAAAGTTAAAGTGGCGGTAGACTATAGGAGATACCTGGCCCTGAACAGGTTCGTGCGTTCGTGGTAGAGTCGCCCGAGCCTGTTCTTTGCGGGGTGTTCTTTTGCTGGCCTGGTTAAGTTGCATCTGAGGCAGCTGAACGGACAATGGTTTCGGAAGGAAGATGGCAAGCCGCTTTGTGCCCTGGATTGCACAGACTCCGTGTAAGTTTTAAGGGAGGTGGAGAGGTGCAGAGACGAGAGGTTGGGGCCATGCCTGCGCCTTTGCTCTGAATCCTATAGCATCCTGCAACTTTTCAAACAAATAGCCCCTATTCCTAAACCCGAAACCCTAAAAGGCGAGAGCGTAAACCCTAAAAAGAGCCCAGGGCCCTGCTCCGATGTCGATACCCCAAGGCCCCAAAGTAGTTCCTTTTTGGGGCTCATATTTAGGATTCTATATAAGGTAATGCCAAAAAGGAACTACTTTGGGGCCTATGGGTAAAGTCAGAATCCAGGTCAGATCTCGGAGGCCACGCTGCAGTGGGACCCAAGCCTGGCATATGAGAAGTGCCGGCCTGAGGGGGTTCTAGAAGCTTTAAGGGGGCTTTCGGGGTTTATAAGGGGCTTATAAGGGTTTACAAGGGGCTTATAAGGGGCTTATATAAGGGTTTACAAGGGGTTTATAAGGGGCTAGGGCCAGGGTTGTTGAGTTTGGAGGGTGAGAGGGAGGGAGTCGGAGTAAGGGCTTGGGTTTCTCGGCAAAGCTAGATCAGACAGAGTTAGACTTGTGTTTGGGCAGTAGGGAATGGAAGAATGGTAGTAATTAGTAATATAGTAGATATAGTTGTACCCCATTCCTCCATTCCCTACTAACCAAAAGTAAGTTTTGTTGGTAGCCTGGGGCCACAAGGGTTCACAGGAAGGGAAGGCCACGCCTTGAAAGAGACAGGAGAAGAGACCGTGCCCGATCTCCAGGTGCGACATTCGGACCCTTGGTCCTGACGCCGTACAGGTAAGCATCAACAAGCACCTGACCCTCGGACGCAAGCCAGATTGGCAGCTTTCTTATCGATAGACCATTCTGCCATTCGTGGATCTGCCTTGCCGAGAGGTTCGATGGCAGAGTCTTCTTTTCACATGATGGCCTGGCAGTCATGCAACTTTGCTGCAGTGAGGGGATGTCCGTGTGTCATCATCTCTCGCCGCCTGCCATCCTAGGATATGTTGGGCTGACGGAGAAGTTTGGCAAAAGACGCCGCCCCAATGGCATGACGAAGGTGTAGCTGCGTAGCTTGTGGCTTGTCTGTAGGCGGATTGTGACAGCGACGGTCGTGTCATCTTGGTCGCGCGCTGGCATGCGCTGGCACAGTTTTCTAGTTGTAAGCACAAAAGTTGCCACTTGTTTCACACTTCACACCATCGCAGAGTTTCAGTAGCAGTCGCAGGGCCTCATAGCCATGCAGAGCCCAAAAAGCAGTTCGCAAAGCGAACGGTTGGACAAAGCCCGCTCGTCTGGCTACAACCTGAGACTTGTGCTACCTGATCGTCACAGTGGGGCCAGTTGCTACCTACAGAGGCTTTGCTGTCAGACATGGCCGGGGCCATCTGCGAGCAGCTGAGACGAACTGCGCACGTTGCTATGGGCAGGCGCAAAAGCAGCTACTCTTCGAGAATTTGTCGAGAGAAGCGAATCCATGGACTTTTTAGTATGGCACGGCAGCGCATTGGTGCCTTGCACGGTGTAGCTGTGCAATGCGAGACCAGGTAGGCTAGAGCGCCGCAGCCGAAGCGGAACTCAATGTCTTAGCTGTTTAAGCCTGGAAGTTTGGTGGAGTGCCTGTAGGAGTCCCCTAACTTAGGTTCAACAGAGTCCTAAGGCCCAAACCTTTTATGCCTGGGCCGAGGGTTTTCCCCGTCGCTTCAAGGCCGAGTTGATGAAGCTGAACAAGGAAACAGACACCATGAAGAAAGAGGCCGGGCAGTCCCTGGCACTTGTGGAAGCCGTTAAAGGGTCCCTTTTGGGTCCACTCTCTTCTGTGAGGCCCTGCAGGCTGCCGAAAAGGCCGCCCCAGCATGTCAGCTGTTACTTTTCGGCTTTGCTTTGGGGTGCTTGGCGGGCTGGTAGCACGACGGATCCGGGATTAGACGAAGGGACCAAACGAAGGAAAGGTTTCTGCCAGAGACGTCAGGCGCAGCAGGCCGAGAAGACGCGTGATGCCGCCAAGAAAGAAGCAGAGGCCGTCACATGTTTGAGATGGGAGCTTGCCAGGCAAAGGTGGAGATTTGCAGCTTTTTCGGCAGCTCTGCTGCGGCTCTCTTCGCAGCAGCGAAGGCCGCGACTTCGAGGCTGAAATCGGCCGATGCGGTCTACAAGGTGGCCAGTTCGAACCCAAGATGCCCGCGAGTGCGAGAAGCCAGGGTGGGTTCGTTTCCCCGGCCATGGCAGTTAGACGTCGGAGCGAAAAACGGAAGTCGGGGCGGCCCTAAAGTTACCTTGGGTTAGTAGGGAATGGACGAATGGTAGTAATAGTAGTACCAATTGTACCCCATCCTCCATTCCCTACTAACCAAAGGTAAGTTGTGTAAGGCGAGCACTTGAAAGCCTCGGCCAAGAAGTTGAAGGAGGTCCAGGCCAAGATCCCGGCGGCCCCTCCCTCGGCGGAATGCGTCGAAAGCCAAAAGCAACGGGAGACTTGACGACAGCCTGGGAGTCGTAAGTCGGCCAGTGATTGCATAAGAGCTACGAATGGAATTCAAATTTTTAAGATCACATGGCGGAAGAGGAACTTCCCAAGCTGAAGTCAGGCCCATGACAGCATCGATGCGCGAGCTGCCGAGTACCAGGCCTTGCAAGGTCTTGGCATGTCTCGGCGGAATGGACCAGCAGCGAATGATGAGAAGCCTGTTCGCACATGGCCTCATATCAGTGTTCTGGGAGCCTGCTCCATAAGCCCTTTGAGCCTGAAACCTCCTGGCAAAGCCGAGTTCAGGCGTCTGAAAAAGCAGCAGCTGCAGCGCAGGAGGCGGCTGACGCTGCCAAAGAGGCCAACACTGATCAGGAATCTTGCGAGTTCATGGGTTTGAATTCCTGGAAGCCTGCCCGTGGTTTTCGGGGCGTGAGGCTCCTGCATAGAGCTGCGTGCCCACGTTACCATACAGATCAACCCACAGCCACAGCCATGTGGACACTGCATCCGAGTCCCGGCGCCCGGAACCCTTAGTTGGACATCTCCGAGTAGCACCAAACCGTGGAAGGCTGGCAGGCAGCGCCGTGCCAAAGAGGCGGAGGCGAATGCCTGACCACCACCAATCAAGTTTTAGCTCCATCACTTTTTGTTTGAGTCTCTTCTGTTGGAGGGTCTTCGGAAGGTTGTCAAAAAGAGGTTTATCCAGGTCGGGAGCCTCACCGAGAAAGCTGCCATGACACTGTCGTCCTACCTTTCCTGAGTCTTGGTCTCACAGGACACAGCGGTTCGTCTCTTCAGGGCGTATTTCAGCATGAGGGTTTGAGGGACTAAACATGCCCGGGACAAGCCAGGCACGACGACACAGACGCATCGTATTCTTCGGAGTTCTCTATAGGCTTCAGTAGCAAGCTGCATGCTGGGTCCGCCTGCAGTCGCTCAGAGTAGGTCGTGCTGTTGGGGCCGTGCATTGCACGGACCTTCGCCGAGGACCCTCGTCGTTCACCAGTGCCCGAGCACACCACAGACAGAAACAGAGAGCGATACAGAGTAGCGAAAGTTTGTGCTTGGGATGCCCGTCTTGAGACTTTGAGAGCGCGAGACTCGCGACTTTTAGCTTTGTACAGAAGCGACACTGCTGAGGCTTCTTTTCCGGAGCAGCCGATGTCAATATGGATTTCGCAGCGGTTTCCTTGATGGCATGCTGCCGTACGTAAAAACCGTGACAAGGCTCTCTGCTCTACCTCCAATCTCCCCTATAGACACCCAAAAAGATCGGGTGGACTTACGAGCTCTGCGCAGGCACCAGTGTTCCCTGTGATTCTCTTGCCAGGCGAGAAAAGCTGCAGCAAAGAAGGCGAAAGAAAAGGCAGAGGAAGAGGCTAAAGCGCAACAGGAGGCGCAGTGAGCGAAGGGATCGTGGCCCATTTAGTATTTGCAGTACTCTTGCTATTTTGACATCATGACGATGCTTGTAACTTCTTGTGGCATTCATTCATCAGTAGTTGCTTTACATGACTTTGATATATACTAATGACTAATGTTAATGTTTCAGTTGCGCACTCGTTCTTGAATCCGTTTCTACCGGATGCAAAGCACGGTCTCCCGAAGCGCCGGGAGCACTGCAGGATGTGATTGGTGGTAGCTTAGAGAAGTGGGCAAAGCCAGTGCAGTGGAAAGTGGCATCGAACCTTCAGCATCGCGATCGAAGTCATCATGGCACCAGCCGCTACTTCTAGCACTCTTTGTTGCTACTTCTTTTCTGCTCAGGCTCGGAAAAAGAAGCTGCGGAAAAGGCTCTGCAGCTGCCTTCTGTGTTTCAATATTGCAGACACGTGGGCTGAGCATTGTCGTAGTGACCATCCACAGGGCTGCCCCTGTCACTGTTGTTGAGATTACCCAATTTTTCCTACGACCAAGAAGTTTTGTAATCGCTGTGATATGCCAAAGACGGAGATGTTCGTGCCTGCCGCAGGAAAGCAGCGAGCCCATCATCGAGCCAGGGAGTCTCAGTCGAAGAGCCCACACGGGAGTTTCCGAAACTAGGGGACCCTTATTTATTGCCCTGAATGCAAGGTCGCAGTCACTTGCATTGACTAGATGAAAGTGACTGCGACCGAAATTTGTGTTTGGGGTTGTGATAATTTCTGCAGTATTGTTACGGGTTAAGGGGCTGTTGATAACGGTGCAGTCGCCCCTCCTGAAAGGGTTGAGTGCTGTATCCCCTTTCGCCCTGTTACCGACGTGGGACCTGCAATGCGGTCTTCGGACATGCCAAGCGGGAGCCAAAAGTAGGGTCCTTGTTAAAAATGAGGACCCCAAAATAAGGTAGCCCTAACTTGGAAGTGAAGCAAAGAGTCTCCGCATGATCCGCAAAGCTGAGAGGCAGCCGTGACTGATTGACAGTTCATGCACTGCAGTCCCTTTAACATTTGCAACCACGGCTTGGGACATGAAGGTTTCAGAACCTCAAGGTACCTTAGGAGTGCTTGTGCTCAGGATCCTTCACATTTTGCGTCGATGGTACGATCGCTTGTATTGGGAAACATGGTCCCTGCTGCTCTCAGCTCTGAGGTCCTGCGCCCCCCGAGGAGCAATCGGAGCGCCGAGCACTTGTGGGGTGTGTGTGTGTGAGAGAGAGAGAGAGAGAGAGAGAGAGAGAGAGAGAGAGAGAGAGAGAGATAGAGAGAGAGCGTTTTGCTTTCTGACGTGGGGTGTTCTGAAGTCTCAGGCAGTGAATCCGAAAAAGCTTCTCCGAAAGGAGAATGCTGGGTCCTCGGTGTTGTGTTGGCGTCGCGAAGCAGGTGGTTGGACAGAAGGTGCGTTCCTGGATGCTTGTGCAGTGTGTGCCTGGGTGGCGCCCAACAACCGTCAACCAGGGACACAACAACCCCCTTCATGCTTTGCCCTGTGCTTTGGGGGCCTCTGCCCGGGCTGTTGGCCATTTGTCGCGCTCGAGTGAAAGTCTGCACGGCTCTGGATTTGGTCATGCTATGATCAGTTTACTTGCTGGATGGGGAAGAACGTCTTTGTGGGACCTGCTGGTTTAGGCTCGGAATCCGAAAAGGAAGCTTCTCCCGATGGACAGGAAGGTGCGCTGCAGCAGATATCACGCATTCGGCAGTAGCATCAACGATGTTTCGCCAGGTTCCGAATCTGACAAAGACAGAGAAGGCCGGAGAGCATTGCTGCAGCGGCATGCCTCTGGTTAGGTGCGATAGTCACTAGGGGCTAAGTGTTGGGTGGTTGTTTGCTAAATCGGTTCTTGTCCTACAGCTCGCCCAACTTCTTGAAGTCGTGGCCGCAATTCTGTGGGCAAGCGGTGAGGCGATTGTCACTGCAGTCGTTTCGAAGCACTGGGCCACTTATGAGTCTGTGGACTATGCTACCATGCCCTGTATTCAAAGGCAGAGAATTTCGTGGCAAATGTGCTCCGTCCTGTGGGCCGTGCCCACTACAACCACTGTCACAATGCCACGAGTGAAAAGGTAGGTCTCTTGACTTTGGCGCCATCTGGCATCGTGCCTGCTGCTGCTGCTGCTGCAACTACGACGACGACTACACTGCTCCTAAGAACATCTTTTGTTGCTGCATCTACTATAGTACGGGTCCTTTGATACTCTGCGAAGTTTTTCAACAAGCTTGTCAACAATGCTTTGCCACGGCAGGCTCGCCTTCTGCCTCTGCGAAACGCAGCGAGCCAATCCGGCACGCTTTTTGTGATGAATTCAATCAGACTAGCGGCCACCAGTTTCAATGGTAAGTGGATGGCAGTAATGACAATGCCAATGCTGTCGTGACAGGCCACGGTCCAGACAGAAGCGTGCTCGCCGGAAGAAGGAGCTCTTTGCGTCACGAAGTGTCACACCTTGTGCAAGCTTCGAGTGCTCTCGCAGGAGGAAGCTGAGGAGTCCGATGATAGGCCGCATGCGAGTGTGGTACTGGTAAGTTGGGCGTGGGGGTTTGGGAGAAACCACAGGTCCAGCGGCTCCAAGGCCAAGAAATCGCCGGCATCCTCGGACTTAAATTCTTCTGCCGAAAGTTGTTGAAGTCAGCTGCAACTCCAACGACGTTAATGAGGCACATGTCCACATGTGCAGGAAAGAGCTGCGAGAACTCATCGCACTTGTTGTCGTAAAATGCTTGGCCACCTGGTACTCCTCGCAGTCTGCAGGGCGGCTTTCGGGATGTTTTGTGCCCCGGCAGGCCAGGGACAAAGCCATACTATCGACTAGACTCGATACTAAGGATTTACTAGACTACATACTATACTTTATTTGGCTAGACTTTACCAGACTCTACTCTACTTCGCAGCAGAGGATGGGCGCCACAGTCTCGCCCAGGCCTCCGAGACGAAGGGCTTCGGCGAGGCGCGGCTTGTCTTCGACGGCCATGGCTCTGAGAAGTTAGGTATGTTAAAGTATGTTACTATGGAGATATGAGTATGCATGTAGCAGGACTCACCGAAATTGCAAGAAGGGCAAGGGCAATTATCATCGGTCATAATCGTAAGGAGGAGGAGCTTGACTCAGCCATGCGAAGTCTTCCGCAGGGCCTCCGGGGCTCCAAAGTCTCGTTTGCATGAATGGGACGTAGACGCTCACTTCATGAAGACAGTGACAGTGCGAGTAGAGATGTTCGCCTAAGATGTCATCATCAACCCAGTGGGAGCTCACATAGTACAGGTAGATGTGGACCATGGCATGGCCCAGATCCGACTTTTGACATACCTTTGGAGCCGCGAGCGTGGCGATCGTGGCAATGCCTCCGAAGCTGGCCACGATCCCATCCCATGCTGTGCTCATTGACCTCACAGCAGGGTCAGAGCACTTGCTCTCACCTGATGCTTCGCCTGCGCATGGTACCTCCGAAGCGTCGGAAGACGTCGGAAATCAAAACATCCCCTCTTGGAGCAGACAACAGAGCCCATGTTCTGTGCTGTCAGTGGCCTCTTCGGGGAGATTGTTTGCGGAGCCCCAGCAGACTCTGCTCTTCCTGGATTGGGACGACACGATGTTCCCCTGCACGGAGCTCTTCTACAAGCGTGGCTTACCGAAGCGCAGCAAGGATTGGACGCCTCCGGACCCTGAGCTTCTGGCCGCTTTGGAGCCCTGGCAAAGGGCAGTCAAGGAATTCCTTGGCCGCGCCTGCGCTGTCAGCGACCGCTGCGTCATCCTGACCAACTCACGCAAGCCTTGGGTCTGGAGCTCAGGAACGTCGCCGGCGCGAACACAGTCTACAATAGGTGAACCTGTCGCTTGATTGTTTCGAGGGTTGTCTTGCTGTCAACATTGCACCGAGGTCACTTCTTGTCTGGGGCAGTTTGCACCTGAGCTCAAAAGCGCTTTCGAAGGAAGCGATGGGCCAATAATAGTTTATGCTCCTGAGGTTCTTAAGGAAAAGATGAAGCAGGAGTCAGATAAGAATGCATGTTGGGAGTGTTTCAAGCCATATTTGAATAGTTGCTGCGGTGGGCTGGCGCAGTTTCTGGAGAACGAGATGTCTCTGATGCGTGAGCGGGTACCACAGCCCTTCTTTGACTGCACCCAGGCCAAGCTTACGGCGATGAAAAGGGAGGCGGCTGAGTTTTATTCTCAATATCCGGGGCAGACGTGGAAGAATATCATAAGTCTGGGGGACATGTTCTACGAGCACGAGGCAGTAAAGACATTACAGGCAACTCGTGTACCTCAAGAGCCAAGAGAGCGCTTGAGGACCAAGTCTTTCGTTTTGTGCCCTGAGCCATCGTTGGCCGCGTTGACATTGCAGCTTCGAGTCTGGTCGCTGCTGCTACCGCTCTGTGCTCGCTTTGACGGCGATGTTGATCTCGACCTCGGGCGGTCTCCCGTTCCTTTCGAGGATTTGGCTGCAGCCTTCAACCTGCCACAGCTCTCGCGCCTTCAGCTACCGTCTTTCTTCCGAAGCGCCAGGCGAAGAAAGTCTGTTGAAGACATTTTGGACCCCCGAACCGACTCCGATGAACTCACCGCAGACGAACATCGTGCTGCTGAAGAGTTCTTGGATGAGCTCACCATCATTTTACAGGATGCGGTCCTGATTCCCAAATTCATGAAGGCTGAATAAGCCGAGTGAACGAGTTGTGCAACCCCTGGGGAAGGGCTTGCAGGGGTAGGGTGAGAGGAGGGAGAGGGAGAGAGAGATCGCTGTTGTGACTGGGGGCGCTTTCCCTGAGAAAGAAAGTGCTCTTGCTAGCTTCCCTTGGAACTGCGCATGAGGCCGGGAGACCTGAGATCAGTCAGCACCTAGAGGCATGAATGCCAGCAAGCGACGGCAGTGGCACATGTGCACCGTGCTCCGTAGCTGCTTCATGCACGAGTCGGTCCACTACAAGTTTCAGTCGAGGAGCACACAAGTGACCCAGAATGTTGGAGGTGGCGGCTCTTCGTAGAGTGAGAAATGTTGCAAGTGTTTGCACCGGACCCCTGCATGGTACCTAGCTTTTCTGTGCAAGCCTCCCTTCGAGAGTGCTGGCTATGGCATCCTTCCAGTCTCTGCTGCTGCAGCCCAGCTGCTCTCGGCTTCAGACCGCCCACACTGGGGAATTTGCAACCCGACTGCACTCGCACTCTCGCTTCACTAGGCAGGCAGGTTAGAAGCGTGTGGGAAGCATCTGGACGACACTTGAGAGGTGGTCGAAGAAGACCTTGCCTAGTACTACATAGCACTTGCAATAACCCCCCCCCCGCCCCAAACGACCACCATGACGACTGCAACATGTGCTGATGCTGGAGCTGTCCGTGATTTTTGTTTTTGCCAATGCATGCTATGCGTGCGACGACACCAGCAGCAAGAGCGTTCATGCCAGCAATGCGACTTCAGTACGACTTGCTTCGCCGCAACAGCAGTGCAAACACATGTGCTAAGCCCAAAGAGAACAAGGAGGCTTCGGCCTGCAGCGTAGGTTCCATCCCTTTTGGGAATTCCGACTGCTAACCATGCAGACAGAAAAGAGCCCTCGAAAACAAAAACTAGATAGGGCTTTGGGACATTTTATATCTCCCCTTCTTGGGCTTAAGAGGATCTTATATACTAACACATCTCAAAGGCTTTAAAGGCCCCACCTACCAAAAAAGGCTCCATGGGACCCAGGATCTGGAGCTCCAGCCTCGCGACGGCCCGCCCATTCCATGTCATGCGAGCCTGCTTCGTGCACGGCAACTGGGCCTAAACCTTGGAACCCTGGTGAACTCCTATTCTGCAGATTCGTAGATGGTATATAACGCTATGCTATACGTAGTACGTTCATTGGCAATCTGTTGGCATACTATTAGTAATATCTTATTGATACTAGAGTATATGACCGCATATTATCATACAATAGTATGTTATAGTCGAGTCATATGTGTAGTGTAGGTGAGTTATCTGAATTCCCGTATGTCATTTGACAGTTTTGTTGATACACTCCCATTTAGCGTCGTTTCACTCAGCACACTCCAAACCATATGCCTTGCCTGGATTGTCCGAGTGTGAACGCCGAAACCCAATAGTGTACTTGTAATGAGGATCCTACTATTTAGGGTACTATATTCGGGTAGTCCACTGTTTTCGGAAACTCCCATATGGGTGGTTGTCAAAATTATTGTCCCTTTTTGGGTCCCCTAAATAAGAGGTGCACCGACGCGCACCAAGAACCTCGTCTGGCATGTCCGAGTTGCGAGAGCGTAAATAGGAGGTGCCGTACTATAATAGGGACCCAAGAAGGGACTATAATGTTGACAACCACCCATATCATAGTGTAGTGGAAGCTTCCAGGTGCCCTCTCTTGCAGATCGAGGGGCCCTGCATTTCCGTTGATGAAGACCACGAGGAGCCCGGGAGTCGCGGAGGGAGGGTTCGTGTAGGGGCCTTTATTTATATTAGTAATAGTTAGAATAGGTAGGAATAGGTTTGGGGGATATTAATATACTGTAGTTGGAATAAGTCATGTAGGGGCCTTAATACTAATAATTAGAATAGGTTTTTGCGAACGGACTGCGATGCCTTGTCAAGTTCTAAGGTGTCACTATAAGAGCTGTGAGCAAGACCGTGTAAAGTGCAAGGGAAGGGGGCACGCCACGCGTCCCTCGTCTCTGGGAGTAGGCTTGTGGTAGTGCTACGCACACCGCAATGCCTATCCATCCTTTCAGTATGACCGCCCATGCAACGTTTGGCTCAAGAATGAGCACAAGCTCTAGAAAGCATTGCCCATAGCTATAGTGCTATAATCTTCTGTGATCCTCCGAGTAGACAGAGCTATCCCGTGCACAGACGATCCACCGCCGGCCGTGAGTGTGCAAAACGAGCGAACGTTGGATCTGCCTGCATAGGAGTGCGTGTGTGGAAGTGGAAGTAACGGTGATCCAGCTTGTAGAAGGCAACCACGCCAACAGTCAATACAGCTCTTTGTGGGGTGAGCGATACAGAACATTACCAGGATCAAATCCCCACGCAGGTTATCAGCCGTACGCGGCTCTGCCTTTCTGCAGCAAAGACTACTTGATCTACTACGACCACAATGAACTCGGGATCAAGCCAAGATACGACAATGACTTTCGGTGCCGATGTGGCAGCGCCAGCCGTTGGTGAGTCAACAGCTGATGACACAGTGGTGCAATCCGTTGATAGCTCCACGGAAGATGACAAAGGTCAATCTTCTGCGCTTGCCATTGCAAAGGCAGTTCCCAAAGCGAAAGCAAAGAGTCTACCAAGGGCATCCACGCCTTCGCGTCCAACATCCACAGGTTCGAGGACGAGCAAGGCTCCAGAACGACGATCCGAAGCGTCTGGTTTTCAGGCACCTCGGACCCCGTCGAGGGCAAAGGACAAGGGAGTGAAGACTTTGGAAAAGAAGCCGCGACCGTCATCTTCAAGAAGCTCTTCAGCACGATCAAGGACTTCGGCCACTCGTGGACGTGACAAGTCCATGACGTGGAATCGAATGGTTACCAATCAACCACGCGAAGCTGACGATCTGGATATGACTCTGGACACAATCCCTGCACGGGGTGACGCTTCGTCAGTGACTACACCAGCCATAGCCGATGGTCCGAATGCCTACCAGGGATTGACAATTCCGCAACAATTTGAAGCATCGAATCTTGCACAGCAGATGTACTATCGAAGTCAGGTGCAGGAGTACGAAGGTGTTGTTCAGACCCTGATGGAGAAGATCAAGGAGATGCAGCAAGAAGATGAAGGATCTGGGATTCGCATCGAAGAATTGGAACGACAACGTGACCATGCATGCTTAGCCATGAGGCACATCAACAATGTCAATCAGGAGATGAAGCGAGACTATGAAACAGCTTTGTTTCGCATGGATGAACAGAACTCTGCTCAACAACGTCAAGCACACGCCGTTGCCGAGGAATTGGCTCAGCAGCTACATGTGTTCCGCACGGAAGCAGCCACTAACTTTGTGCAGTTGGAGGCAAGAGCGCAAGGCGATGGTGAGCTTATGGCACGTGAGTATGAGCATCTGACTCATGAACTTCATGAACAAGCCAGAGAGAACTTGTTCCTCCGGTCGAACACAGCAAGTTCAGAACAAGCCTTACAAGCGATGCAGGAACGATTCCACCTTGGTCAGGAATCAGGAGTTGCGGGCCGTAAACGAGATTCAAGGGCTAGCTGGAAACAGCGCAGCCATTGATCAAGAACGACTTCGGCTTCGCGAACGTCTTGGTGAGGAGGAAGAGTACCGCAAAATGGCTGTGAGGAGGATGCAAGATGCAGAGGACCGACTTCATCAGAATGAGGATCATGCAAGGCGCGCATTGCCCACCTTGCACGACGAGCTGAGCGAACTCAGGAAAACGCTCAAAGCACAAGAAGATCTTCAAGCGAGGACACGCAGCGAATTGGAGGCAGCACGGAACTCCAACTACCATGGCGGAGTGACACGGCCTTCGAGCATGCCCATGTCTTCGAGGACTACTGAGTCTGGCTGGGAGCACGTAGGAAAGGAAGTAGTGCCTGCATTTTCCGTAGGAGGTGAGGTGCGATCCCCTGAAATACGGTCACCAGGCCAAATTAGTCCAGTCGCCAAAGAGAAGTTCGCATTCTCAGAATCGGACAAGGACAAGAACCTTGCGATGGATGGCATCCCATTTACCGGTGGAAACTTCTTCACTGGCAACATCAAAGGTGAGGTAAATAAATCCTACGCAACGCCAATCGTGGCGGATGCAATGCCCGAGCACTACGTGCCAGGCATTAGCAGTCCAGCACATGCGCGTTCCACGCCCAGTGCAGCCACTCTGTTTGGCATACCAAGCGGATTTCATGGGCAAAGTGATGCGGCAGCCGTGCGTGACCGACAGCTACGTGAACTCTTGGAGGATCGCGGGATGTTGGGATCGAAGTCCACAGCATCTGCCAGCTCCTCAAGACCTGTTGGTATCGACGGCATTATCGCATCTATGAGGGGAAACGACCCAAATGGTGCCCCTGTCACCTACGATGCTTCCATCCATGAGGCAAGGAGACGTCAGATCGAGAAAGAGGTCGCGGAACAGTACGAAGAGAAGATTGCTGATCTGCGAAGCGAAGTACTCAAGGCCCAGAAAGCCGAACAGCGTCTCAGAGCTGATCGTGACGAGTGGAGATTATTCGCTGAAACGATTCAGGAAGACAATGGAGACGATGACGGTGATGAAGCTGGCGACGAGAACGAAGAGGGAGAGCAAGATGAAGGGGCCGGCACGGGGTATGACCCTCCAGATCCGCCTAATGATGACGATGATGATAAGAAGAGGAACGGTGGAGGCAAACCTGAACCGGATTCTGACCCTCATGCGCGTGATCCTGACGGAGACGCAGATCCTGAGGTCACGGAGGTGAGAATTTCCAGGAGAGAGGCCGATAAAGTGACAGTCCCTCCATGGCCTGTTCTCACTCACCTGAACAACTGGCGGTCCGTATGCACGGCGAATGTCCTAGGAGCATCAGCCGACCCAAATCATGAGGACTGGATGTTATGGCTGGCACCAGCGTTCAATCCATTCCCTGATGTCGAAGCACTGAACGATTCAGGACACAAGAAGTTCAAGAGCATAGACGTCAAATTGGGGGTCTCCATGGTCGCAATGCTACGCGCTGGTGGTGACAAATCCGCTGATCTGTACCTGGAGGTGAACCGGAAGGCCAACGATTACATCAGCAGGCCCGAAGGGAAGATCATCAAAGGACGACAAATCATTGCGATGATGTATGAAAGTTTTCGAACGCATGACCGTCTCGACATGATCATCACTCTCGAGTATCTGGTGAAGCTCCAGTACCAAGGCGACAACAAACTTCATACGTTCAAGCAGACGTGGTTGGAAGTTCTTGGACGGATGAGACCAGAAGACATACCATCCAAAACAGCTCTCCGTGATTGCTTGCACAGCAAGATCAAGGACTCGCCCGCAATGAAGATGGATTTGGGCATGCACTATGACCACTTGCCCTACAATCATGAAGACCGATCGTACGACAATCTGATGAAGATCATCGATCGTACCATCATGCGGAGACGAGAACAATCAAATCTCACTCAGACCCAAATTGGTTTGCGCCAGATGCTTGAGGGCAAGGATTTGCTCGCTGCGCCGGCCAAGGTACCTGAGAAACCAACGCCTAATGCAGCTCCATCCGCAAAGGTCAAAGCTTCGCCTACCAAGCCGGATAAAGCAACACCTGTACTACCTCAGAGCCAAGCGAAGAGTCATGCGAAGACCAAGCCAAAGCCCAAGAAGAAGACGAGGAGTGAGTCGGCGGACAACAGAGGCGACAAGAGCAAGAAGCAAATCCGCTGCAAGTTCCATTTCACAGATGCAGGGTGTCGAAATGGTGACAAGTGCCCATTCAGTCACTCGAAGAAGACTCCAGAGCGACCCTTTACGCCGAGGACGAGAACTCCAAGTCCATCTGGAGGAGGAGGAAATAGGATATGCTACTCTTTCAAGAACACAGGCTCGTGCTCAAGAGAGAATTGTCCTTTCAAGCATGAGGCCGCAGCTACCCCAGCTCCGGAACCAAAGGCGAAAGCCAAAGCCAAATCCGAAGCAAAGGCAGCTCCAGCGAAACCGAATGCTAAGGCCAAGGCACTCCCTGCGGCACCCGCCATTAGATTGTGCCGAAGGTGGAATCCATCAGCCCCGGCTATATGGAAGCGATCTTCAAGACAAGATGAGGAAGAGTCAGATTGTCCATCCGCTGACAGCGACGCTGACTCGGATTGTTCAACCGACGACGAATCCTCGGGACCGACTACGTCGACCCGAAAAGAGATCAAGCGCAACGTGACATTCGCTGGCGACGTGAAGTTCACTTCTTCGTGTCCTAGAAAATCGAAGAAGGACAAAGAACGGAAGGTGAAGTACGTCGACATGGAAGCACTTGTCAACGATGGGGATCGCGCCGTGACTTTGGAATTCGCTAAGCACAAAGCGAGATTGAGGGCACAGATCATGAAAGACATGGTTGACGACGATGATGATCAATGCGGAGATCGAGTTTCATTCGTACGGATCCCAGGAACGTCTCGGGTGGAAGAGGTTTCCTTCTACGACGGTGAGGATTCCATCGTGGAACGTGAACTCGACGCTGCGCACAGCAAGCGGATCATCAATCAAGGCGTGTTCAAATGCATGGTTCAACCAGTCATCCTCAAGAAGAAGATCAAGTTTCTCATGGACACTGGATGTGGCCATGACCTCATATCTCAGAAGAAGATCGAGAAGCACAGTCTCGAGACACTCGTGACTCCAGAGCCCATATCATTTCAGACAGCAAATGGAATCACCGATACCGATCTTGTGTCGAACTTCCAGACTGAGTCGT